GGGGGGGGGGGGGGGGGGGGGGGGGACGGCGACGCGTTTAAATGAAAAACGTCACGGTGTTACGTTCTACGCGAACGCGGGCATTGCGTAAGGCGTTGCGCAATCTTCCCGCGAGAAGATTCTACGAAACAATCGAGATCAATTTACCGGATAATCCTGTTATGTCCATGGCTTTCAGGTTCCTAGCCTTGATGACGGTCACCGTTAGCCGTCCCGCCGTCGGTAGATAGCAGAGCGACAGCATCAGCTCTCCCAAATCCACTTTGTCCTAAAAATCGCAGCCGCGACCGTTGGGTCGAGATTAATACGAAGACGAATTTCATAGGGAATATGATCACGGTTTCTAAAAACAACGAATTTACCTGCATGGCGCACATGATGTCCATCATGTACTCGATCTCTTGGGACAGATCGGTGCACTCTAACAATCCTTTGAACACTACTTGTCCAATCAGATCGTGCCGCGAGAAGCGATCGAAATCGTACACCGAGAATTGGAGGTATCGTTCCCGCAGTTCATCGTACGATACGCTGGCGACAGATTTCGATAGTGAATTATCGTCGAGCCGCAGATCGCTCGCGTGCAATATTTCGAAAATGTTCGCAAAGTGGAAATCACGATCGTCCGCTGATTCGTTTAACCGGTTAGCCGTGCGTTCGACGAGTATACGCGACGCGGACAAGTGGCAGTACAGTAATGTCTCTCTTAGTGACGCTCGGATTCTGCACAAAGATGGACGATTTGGGGAGAGGAGATACGATTATTCGACCCTTGATGTAACCTTGACAATTCGTAACTATAAAAACGAGCTGCAAGGGTCGAATAATCGTATCTCCTTTTCTCAAATTGTCCATTTTTGTGGACAATCTAAAAACGAGAGATTTTTATTTTTTTGTAATTCCAAGTACAGTAAATTCTCCCTAACTGGCGTCGAGATTCTGCGCAAAAATGGACAGTTAGGGAAGAGGAGATCCGATTATTTGAGCTTTGCAGCTCGTTTTTATAATTGTTGAAAATCGGTAACTATAAAAACGAGTCGCAAGGCTCGAATTCGCAAGGCTCCTTTTCTCAAATTGTCCATTTTTGTGGACAATCTGAGCGTCAGTTAGAGAGACATTACTGTACATTGTTATGAAAATACCATTTTACAGCAGCTGTTTGAATTGTTAACTTTTATAAGTATTTGATTTCCAAATGACTAAGTAAATGTTACTATAATAAAATTGTTAACTTTATAAAATGAAACCGTCTTTTCGATCCAATATCTAAACAGCGACACTTATTCTGTGTTTGCTTTCGCCTTTTGCTCTTTTCGTCTAAAAAAGAGGCGCGCCGCAGCTAACTGGTTAACATTCAATTTTTATCGAATAAGCAAAGATAATTAAACTTTCGGTTCTCCAAGCTGTCCCGGAGACTAATTAATGTACGAATCCCGTGAAAAGTTGTATCTCTGATATCGCCGAACATTTTTCTCCGCAAATGTCAGTTCGCATACGGATCTGCAGCTCGGTTACTATTATCATCTGCAATCTCCTGGCTGTCAATACCGAGATGCTCAGCCAGGATCGTGCTAATGCTCGCGCGAAGGGTTTCTACGTAGATTGTCGGATGCACTTTAATCACCTGAAGATGAACGTCTCGTTGAACACCGGGTTCAGATTCTTTCGATGCACCTTCGTCTGATACTTCTTCTTTCTGTCCGGCAACAGGTATATCTTTACGTAAGGATCGCTGCTGCCCGACACATCTTTCACCGGTAGTTCTCGAGCATCTAGAACCTGACATCGACAGGACGAAACGAAATATATATGTAGACATGCCAGATATCCAGAAATGCAATCAGGTGGGAGAGGGAAATCTTAATAACGCGAACATCAAATATTAGAATCTTTTATAACGACTCAAAGGCAATCGGTGAAAACACGTTTCTTCGAACTGTTGATTAATGATTTCGGTACGGTGAACGCGAATCGACAGAATTCTTGGTAAATTGTTTACCTCGATGGCTTTGCCCGAAATCTGTTTATTATTAAACCCTTAACGCACAGTTTTTTTTAAAGAAACCGGCCAAAAATATCAAATCTTTTTTATATGTAAGAAAACAATTTAAAAACATTGTTTTGGCAAAAAAATTAAGAACATACAAGAATTGGAAGTAGATAAGCAATATAATATAGAGATAGATATAATATAATATAATATAATATAATATAATATAATATTATATATCATATATTATATTATATTATATTNTTTCCTAGATCAATTGTTTCTTATTACAAACCGCTATCGCGGTACTCTTGATTTTTTAAAATAATTCCTTTGCTTCGTTTAAACGTTCCGCTTTTATTGCAGCACGTTAATTATCGCTGAGTCGCTTTCGCTTGCCGGGTGACCGCTTCAACCCCTTAACGCATAGTTTTTTCGAAAAAACCGACCAAAAAGATCAATTTTTTAAATGTAAAAAGACACAATTTATAACATCGTCTTGATTAGAAGTAGATAAGCAATATCCAACCAAATCCACATCCTCGAAGGTTTCCATTTGTTACCGCCCCTGATTCAACTTTTCTTTTGGTGGAAAATTATTGATACACTGCGCTTTTGTTTCACGGAAAAAGGCTACATTTTATTCTTGAATAAATAAGTGTTATAGCTTACAATCCCATGTAAATGATAAATATCAATAAAATGATTTTTTTTATTTGCTTTCACATTGTTAATTTCAATTCTCGATTATATTCGAGTGTGAAAAATTATAGCAGAATAAAATGCAACACTGCTCGAATTAACTCGAGTGTGCACAGTTTGGGGTTAAACATGTAATGTGAATGTATAAATAACACATGAATTACTATTTAAGATTTATGATTAAGTACATTCATTTTACTATGCAGCGAATAAATCTGAGATTTAGAGAGCTAAAAAAGAGAGAACAAAAATTTGTTTATTCTTCCCAGCGTTTTAAAAATACGAGCGGAGTCGAAGTGGCGGCAATCTCGTCTCCTGCAATATTCCTAAAAATCATCCTAATCGCTCCATACATTTTACAGTTCCTTTAAATTTCACCTTTCGTTCTGTCAGAAAGAAGCAAAAGCTTTCGTCCTCCGCCGATCTTTCTTCCTAAGATCAAAAATACAGCCGTTTATGAGAAAATTCGGCAAGAAAGAACAGAGCTACGAAAGTAAATATTCACCGAATTCTGTCGACCGTTTCACATTCAACGTGAATTTAATCAAAGTCGCTGAATCTTTCAGCGCGCAATCTTTAAGACGAAGTCGGGAGGGGTGAATGATAAATGAATTCTCCTGTTAATTAAACTTCCACCCGCGTTATACCAAAGCAAGATGAATATTCTCAATATTTAATTCGCCATGAATCTTCAAGGGGAGGCAGCTTACTCGCTCCGAGGAAGTTCCAAAAAAGTGTTGTTGGGGCAGAGGTAAATAAAAGGTAGTCTCTCGCGATAATTGTTCAACGATTACCGCTGCTTTTTTCCCCCCCGGGGATTACCGGAGAGACGTATAAATTGAGAATTCCAGCATCTCTCGCAGCTCGAAAGAGCAGAAACTCCGGTGCGCGCAAGCAGATCGTAACGCGGACCACCGTCGTTTTAAAGCCGGCGTGCTCGTTCCGAGAAAGCGGGAAGTACGGCGACGCGTTGAATATTACTTTTAAAGTAATTCGACCGGCGAGCCTCCTCCGCGAGGAAGCGGGACCGCGGTATCCGCTTTTAATGACTCCTCGGCGCAACGTGTGCAACACGTACGCGAACAAAAGGAAAGGTGATTAACCCTTTCGCTACTGCGGGCCACTATAGTGGCCCTCCATAAGATGTCACTGAGGTACTACGGGCCACTATAGTGGCCTTTCGTATGATGCCACTGAGGTACTACGGGCCACTATAGTGGCCTTTCGTATGATGCCACTGAGGTACTACGGGCCACTATAGTGGCCTTTCATAAGATACAACTGAGGTATCACGGGCCACTATAGTGGCCCTCCAGAAGATGCTACTGAGGTACTACGGGCCACTATAGTGGCCCTTCGTATGATGCCACTGAGGTACTACGGGCCACTATAGTGGCC